TGGCGATCTCGTGGCATCGAAAGGATACCAAGATCGTGCCAGGATACAACCTTGGTTACAGAAGGTAACCGAATTCGCGCAAAGTTACAATCAAAGTGTAAGTAAGAGAATGGAAGCACAAAATAGCTGTCATTAGCACAGTCAAACAAAAGCACGTTAAAACAAACACTGGTACAGTTGGTTATAATAATAATCGTTTTTATTAAACCAGTCGTGTTCTCGTGATAAACGTGAGTCACTACATAGTCATCTTCCTTGACTGGTCAGTTAATTATTATCTTTAACATGTTCATTCATCAATACAAGAACAAGTTTGTGTGTTTGGTTCTCAGTCACATTGTTCTAGGTGCTGGCATTAAAGCCGAAGTGTCAAACAAATTTTCTTTTAAATACATATAGATCACTAAGTTACCGCAACATTTATTTCCCTGAAATCATAGTTTTCACTTATTTTTCACTGATAACACATATCTTATAAATTCAAGAATGTTAGTGAAAAGAGTTCCTGAACAGTAAAACTAACTTGTTCTTTAGTTTTCTTTAAATCTTTTTGAGAAATATTTTGTAAATTTGTACATTCACTGTTTAAATCAGTTAATCGACCTTCATATTGATCTTTCATTAAGTTCATTTTAACTGTTGGACATTCATATGCTCGATTGCATTTTTCTAACATTGAAGCTAATTCAACATTTATTTCCTAAGTAGAATATAAAAAGAAAGACTCAATGTCATTTGTTTCTTTTCAATTATCTTCAAGCATATTGTATCAAATAATCAGGAATTACCTACATATATAGATAAATATAGTTATCAGAGTTTTGTATTATAGTTGTGAAGTCCTACGAAAATGAGTTGAAAATTATGCAGACGAATAAATTAAGCAAACGGATAAACAAAAAGGAATCGAGTTCCTAGTCCAGTAGACTGTAATACATTAAATATGGCTTAGAAGATCTGAATAAGACTGTGAATTGGTGCCTTACTTTTCAGCCTTTCATTTCTTCATAGAACGACGGTTTAGTGATTAGTGTATTTGAATTTCAATCAGTAAGTAGCAGACTCGAACTACAACCCATCGGTTTTGATCACTAGCTCTCATAACTAAAGTGTATCTTAAAGCCGATTAAATAAATCGATACTAAGTAAGAAATTCTAATATTACTATACTTCAACAAATTTAACTGGATAGTACCGGTTAGTACCAGCAAATAAATGTCGTCTAGTGGCACACAATAGGACCGCCATTGAGTTTTATTCTGAAACATGTCTGATGACATCTCAAGACACCGTGTTACATTATCTGTAGGGCCCAGTCAAGGAGTCAAAGACACCAAACATGGCCCAGATTGGTATAAGACACTCTGGCTTTCACTATAAATCAATTGATCTCATCAGTCACGCCACTATTAACACTAACACAGCTACCCAAATACACAACCACTTTCAAATCCTCACAATTAAAAGTGACTGCAGACACAGGCTCCTGACAGTCTTGTAAAAGTAATTTAAGGTACAACGCATATTGTGTACCTACGAATAGCCATCGCCAACTGATTAAGTGTGAAATACTTGTCCCGAGCACCATTGCAACGTAAAACGAGATCACCCACATACTCAGGGTGTGGCGCATATATATTTGTTGCCTCCTTGTACAAATATTTGTGTTTAAATAAATAAATAGTATCGAAGACAGTCGTAAAGCCTGTATCAATAATTATAGTTCTTTATCCTAATATTTGATTGGGAACCATACTGAGAAATTGTAAGTTATCAAATAAAATTAAACATCAATTATTGGGAAATCAAGAATAATGTACAACTGTTTCGTCATGTTATGTTTTTCGTTTAGACAGTAAACAACAGTAATGAAGTCCAAGTTAAAGAATTCCCTTATTCTAAAATAACACAACAGTCAATTGAACCTAATAAACAAAAAAACTCATATACCGTATGTGGCCAACACGCAAATAAACTGCGTTATTTTTGTTGTTACGTATGGACATCATTAAACAAACAAACGGTCCCATTATATCTAAAAGGTCACTATATTCAGTCACGATGACTGTGGTGATTATTCTCTATTCCACAACTATTTAATGAAGTGCAATTTCTTCATATCTACAGGATCTGTTACATAAATAGGCGAATATATAGCTAGAAATTCAAAAATGATTCGCCGCGAGTTGTCAGTGCATAACTCCACTACCCTAGATAAAGATTCCTGGTCCTTACACATAGCATTCTATGGTTCCTATTCGTCTGTACAATCCAAAATGGTTGGATAGAGATTGCACTAATGCGATACGGAAGTGCGAAAATGCAGAACAATCGTTGGAGAGGATGATTTTCGTGGATTCCTAGGAATGTTTTAATTGACTGAAATGGAGACAGGATAAGTATAATAACAACAGACGCGACATATTTGTCAGATAACTTTAATGTACCTTCAATTTCTTTATTTAAAAAGTTTACATAAACGTAATTTGCGCATTTATTAGGCAAACCATGTATATTTGGCTTCGCGTCACATTTTTTTCGTAAGTGGTCGCATTGACACTACTCGGGTGCTGAAAACTAAGCAGATCGGCCAGGGTTCGAACTGCAACCAAGTGAGTGAAAATCAACTGTTTCAGTCGCTAAGTCTATTTGTTTACAGCAAGGAAAAGAAAAACGTTCATCAATGTGATACAACTAGCCTGGAAATGAGGCACGGTAACTTAGAGGGTCGATACAATCAGAGTGTGGTTCAAAACCAGGCAAATTAATCTGAATCTGGTAAATGGAATATTAAACCAACTGGACCAGAAAATGTAAAACCGGAGAGGAAAAACGGAAAACAAATACAACTTACATATTGTTTACCACTTCCTCGTCTTCTTCATCACCATCATATTGTGGATGAGATGATTGTACATGTGTATTATTTTCTTGATTAGAATTATTTACATTATGAATAGCAGCAGGGTCGGAAGAAGGATGATAATACGATGTTGGAAAAACAGTGGAATCTTTAGAATTCCATTCGCTCTGCTGCTTCCTAAATTCGATATTCGCAGGTATTTTATTATTATCGTTATTATTATTAATAATACTATTATACATACATACAATAACTGAGGTACTCTGTATTGTCAGTCATTGGTAAAGTTTGATTTGCATTTCTATTAGGTATTTCAAATGCAGATGACAATGAGGTAGGAGACGTGAGTAGTGATGAGCAACCAAAGCAAAATAGATGGAAGAGGCGGCGGCTATAGGGAACACAAGACAGCTCTACAGACTAATAAAAGAAACTGGAATTAAAAAGTCAAGTGTAAGTCAGACTATTTCGGAAAAAACAACACACTTACTAGCTCTCAGTCCAGACGCTTAGAACGATCGTCGGAACATTACAGAGAACAGTTCAGTTGGCCTTCAGCTTTCCTACAACTACCCTCCATTCCCAGACAGTGTGAATGGAACATTGAAGTAGGTCCCCCGACTCTTGCTGAAGTTCAAAAGGCTATAGTTAATCTGAAACGAGGAAGGGCAGCTGGTCCAGATGGATTGGCTCCAGAGGTCTTTAAGGATGGTGGTCCAATTTTAGCGATTAAGTTGACTAATATTTTAGCTAAGATCTGGGAATTAGACTTTATCCCATCTGACTGGTCACAATCACTTATCGTCCCAATATATAAGAAAGGGTCAAAATCATCCTGTGACAACCACAGAGGGATTAGTTTAACAAACATAGTATATAAAATACTGGCCTCGATAATTATCAGAGGCCTAACTAAGACTCGTGAACTACAAACTCGAGAGAATCAAGCTGGCTTTAGACCCGGTCGTGGCTGCATCGACCACATATTCACCATTCGTCAGGTTCTAGAACATTGGCATACTTATCGACGTCCGACAATGGTGGTCTTTCTTGACTTAAAATTAGCATTTGACTCGGTAGACCGCGAGATTCTGTGGCAGTGTCTGTCATTGAAAGGCGTACCTCAGAAGTACATAAACCTTGTAAAGGCTCTTTACTCGAACACTACTAGTCGAGTCAGAGCTCATGGCGAACTATCATCTACTTTTGCAACCTCAAGTGGTGTCCGACAAGACTGTCCACTTTCTCCATTTTTGTTTAACTTCATCATAGACCTACTAATGGAAATAACATTCTCGTCGACTGAATTCTTGGGCATTGATCTCCTTCCAGGAGGTCCACTTATCGACTTAGAATACGCAGATGACATAGTCCTGTTTGGTGGAGACGCTGACAAAATGCAGAGTCTTTTGGTAGCACTGAGCAACAATGCCAGAATGTTTGGAATTCGCTTCTCTCCCTCTGAATGCAAGTCGTTGTTTCAGGACTGGTCTGCGTCAACACCTGATAGGGAGTGAAGTAGTTGAACGCGTTGACAACTTCACTTATCTTGGAAGTCTGATCAGCCCTAATGGGTTGGTGTCTGACGAAATCTCAGCACGGATTCGAAAAGCTCGTTTGGTTTTTGCCAACTTACGTCACCTTTGGCGAAGGCGAGATATCCGTCTATCAATAAAGGGACGAGTATACTGCGCGGCAGTTCGTTCTGTTTTAATTTTCGGCAGCGAAACATGGCCCTTAAGAGTAGAAGACACCCGTAAGTTACTAGTATTTGACCACAGATGCCTTAGAAATATTGCTGGCATCTGCTGGGATCACCGGGTAAGTAATAGTGAGGTTAGACGCAGGGTATTAGGGAATGATGGTAAATCAGTTGATGAGGTTATGAGATGGTTGGGCCACGTATTACGTATGCCTGAACATCGATTACCACGACGTGCAATGCTAACCGGGGTAGGGGATGGTTGGAAGAAAGTTAGGGACGGCGAAACCAAAGCGTGGCATCAGTGCATGAAGTCACTAACTTCTAGTCTGAGCCATGTTGCTAGATGCAGACTACTTGGTTGGGGTCCGCGTGACTTTCGTAACCAATGATTGGAGACTCTTGGTGACATGGCTCAGAATCGATCACAATGGCGTCGGTGTATACACTCCCTGTCTTCCCTTAAACTAACAGACTAAAATCACTTCATTCTTTCTGTCTACGAACTAATTCTTTCTTCCTGTACTATATCCTTATTGCAACCTTTGACCTAACCACTCCTATGAATCCGCTGTTCATCTTGCTGTGCTAATGAGGTATGGCAACCTGGACCGATGCACATATGTGCCTGGTCCTACGTTGTAGCTGACTGACTGACTGAGTAGATCCTTTTTATATTGTCTGTTTGAATCTGCCCTTTGGTGTTTAAGACTTCAATTGATCAGTCTCTTATTAGCACATGTACATTCTATGCGGATTACATCGATATTACCTTAAATTCACACGAAGTTTCAAATGAACAATACAAAATGAATTTAAACTTCATCCTATTGCACAAGCTAATGGCTATCTGAACTCACTAGCTAAATCGATAACGTGATGACATTTGTAGCAAACACTACTGGATTCAATGCATGAATTGAAAATCAACTAAGAAATACAAATACATTCAGCTGAGGAGTCCCAATTAGGACGGACGAAACACGCATCATGCATTCCACTGCTAGCCATCATCCATCTTTACATAATATAGTTACCAGTCAAGTACCAATGAAATATATGTCTGTTATTCTCTAATTTAATATATAGCTATTCTTAAGTAATAATCAAGCTAATAGATCGATTAAATTTTCTTTTTAAAAATGACATACATGATCTAATCAATTTATCTTCATTATTGTGATGAAATTTACTTATATTACTGAAAAGGGAATACAAGAATACAGCCGTTTTATACTACTATTAAAATAGTATCCTTTGTCTACAGATAGATATCTTTGATCCGATCCGATTGATTCAATGTTGAATGGATTCAACTTACTCATCACAATACATGGATTCATTTAACAATGAAATGTTATCTATAAACTCATTAACAAATAACAAAGGTTGTTTAGAAGAAGTAAGTTTCATATTCAATTTGTGCGAATATTAAATTTTCTTATGAATATATAAACAATGAATATGAATTTTTAGTTCTAGAATAAAGATTTCAATAGTTGAGATCATGAGTCAATTGAAACTAGACCACCATGGAAAATCTAGATGCACTGGACGTCCGTTTCGTCCTATTGTAGGACCCTTCAGCAGTGCTCATCCACGACCTCACCTCGCGAAATTTGAACTCAGGACCTAACAGTCTCGCGCGCGATATCTAACTTCAGTCAATCCACGAAATGCAGTGACACATCCACCAATGTCTTCAGTGAGTTACTATCTCACAACAGACCCGGTTGAACTCCACTGCTCACTGCTTCTCACCAGAACTCCAGGAAATATCTCTTGAAACCAGCCATTAATTATTATCTAAATAAGAATAAGAACTACAGTGCGGAACGATTGAATTTAGGTACATAGAATATTAAAATTCGACTTTATGATCCATTCTTAATGTGAAATTCTTGAATATGATATCTGATTAAGTCAATCATGTACACTGTTAAAATGTTTCAAACTTGAACAAGTGCTCAGCGTTGCAAGATCTTTAACGGTTTCTTGACATAAACCTCTCAGAGCAAAATGATATGAGAAAAAATAATACCTGTGTATAAGGAATAAAAAAGTAGAAAGAGTAAGAAAAAATTTTGGATAAGCCTTGAATACAGTTACCGTTATAACTTTTAGTTATGAACTATGTGATGTTCGAATAATGAGATATCTAAAGTCTTACCCAATAAGTTGAAATTCTTTTTGTAGGGCTCAGTTCATCAATCAGTAATGGTATAGATTACTTTATGCTAGGAATTAGAAGTAATCATCATTTAGCACTAACCAACCTAAACCTTGCATGTAACTTGGTAACTAGATAATCTATATTTCATAACTTTACACACAGACTCAGTTACTGCATTTAATATCAATATCAAAACGTCGGTTCATCCATACTAAGTCTATGTTTAAGCAAACGTTGATTCATCATCTTTGAGTCCACTCTTAAAATCACTTCCGTTATATCTTGAGCTTAGTTTCTTATTATATCGCGTACAATTTGAGCAGTCGAACGCTAAAACCGTCCTAAGTCGCAAGTTAGAACATAAAAGACAAGTAAAAGAAATGTTATTTCAAACAGCATCAATTGTGGTACAAAAATGTCAGGTATTTATAGTTTCTAGTGAAGACGAAATCATCATTATAGCTCTTGAATATGCATACAGGTGGTTATTAGCATTTGTCCAATAGGGAAGCTACACATAGGGATTCTGGAATATTCTTCAAAAAATTGATTGAATGGAATATCTTCAGCTATTTTTTTAAGCTTTCTATAGCTTCCTCGAGTTCACCGATGGGTCGTCCTCATAAATGCAAACAGCATTTCTATCTGACACATTTTAACCGATAAAAATTCAATGTTTATTTTATCAATTTCTTTTTCAACAGAATACACTTCATCATTATGATTACTGGACACTGAATAATAGTTTAACTTCACCAAAAATTGAAGTAGATCAACTAGCAAATTGGATGATTCAGATGAAATCAATCATTTCAAAAAATGATATATTTTCCAAAAGTCAGTGTGTAAATTATCATATTACTTTTCGTACAACACTTCAGAGTCATCATCATCATCATCATCATCATCATCATCATCATCATCATCATCATCATCATCATCATCATCATCATCATCATCATCATCATCATCATCATCATCATCATCATCATCATCATCATCATCATCATCATCATCATCATCATCATCATCATCATCATCATCATCATCATCATCATCATCATCATCATCATCATCATCATCATCATCATCATCATCATCATCATCATCATCATCATCATCATCATCATCATCATCATCATCATCATCATCATCATCATCATCATCATCATCATCATCATCATCATCATCACATCATCATCATCATCATCATCATCATCATCATCATCATCATCATCATCATCATCATCATCATCATCACATCATCATCATCATCATCATCATCATCATCATCATCATCATCATCATCATCATCATCATCATCATCATCATCATCCATCATCATCATCATCATCATCATCATCACA